TGAACTTGAAAAATATCAAATCGATACAAACTACATTAGAATACCTACCTATTAGTGACACACACAGAAAATAATTACTATTGCCTGCTTCTGAGTTACTTCAGATATGCATAAGTCTGTTTCACTTTATTTATGAAGTGTGTAGGCATGAATAATTTTATGTGCTCTACAGTCTTACAGTGTATACACAAAATGAGCCTTTCTTTGAATGTAGATAGATGTATGAAGACAGGTTCAAATGAATTAGATAATTGAATATTCGCATTCTATAAATATAATTATTAATTCAAAGAGAAATGTTATCAATAGTTATAATAGCATGCTTTGAACTAAGTTTGAATCACCTATGTGTGTATTCTGAAACATTTTTGAATAAAAATGTATGCTTATTCTGATAAAGTTAAAAACTATGTGATACATATCTCGGATTCCATATTTAGTAATCACTATACAAATTTTTCTTTCAAATGGACTAGTTTTCTAAAGATCTTGTAATATTTAATGCAATTTTAGATTTTCCCATCGATTGATTGGACCGGAGTGCTCGGTCTCAGGTTGACATGTTGGCTTCTTGTGCAGATGCTTCGACGATGTCTGGAAATGTAATTAAAAGTAAATTGGTGGATGGTGACAAGCAGCGGAATCCAGGACGCTCATTTCGTCCTATTTGGGGCTCGTCATCTAAAATGTATCTGCATTCCGAAGTCAGTAATGATGTTCCCATCAGGGCTCGAACTCAATCATTAGATGGTAAGATCTAAAATTCAATTAAATCATAATTATGAGACTTAGCACGGGGTGGCTCTTGTGGAGCAAGTGGTCAAGTGGATAACACTTTGGTGTTTGAAAATATGGCCACTGGGTTCGAGCCACGGTGGGAAAATCATCACCCACTGGTGAGTGCAGTTACATTCATCCGACAACTAGTCCCAAACATGACGAAATCCCCATGCTGGATTCCACTGCTAGTCATCATTCACCAACTAAATTCTTATATTGTAATATGTTTGTTCAATGCACATAAACAAAGTCAAGAAATGTTATAAACGTTGGGTTTTTTCATATAGTTTGAACGTTTCCATTTTTACTTTAAAGGCGTCCAACAAACGGTCTGAAGATTATTAAACGCCTCAGTAATGTAAAGTCTACAGAAATACTATTTTAAGGACGCTTCTTTTGACACGGCAGAATAGTTATATATATATATATATATATATATATATATATATATATATATATGCGACTCTACAAATAACTGAATCGATCCGCTGACAAGAATCTCTTCGTTGAATTGCCTGTTCTTGTATCCGCTCTCTTCACTTACAGGTATATTGCAAATATGATGACATCACATGTAGTTGCATTGATACAACGAATATGTATTCAGAATAAATAATTCCGTCAATTCATTTTCATTTTCAGGGTAGAATTTATGCACATTTCCTTGACTCCAAAATGTGCTACATATGCCAACTCACTACTTGAGTAAGTAGGCAAAGGAGACACCATGAAGGAAGAATGGTTGTAATAAGGATGCCCCTTGCTGAAAATGCGCAGAATTGAGGGTAACCCATACGGATTCCACTCAAGAGTCTTGTCATTGTGTGTCCAGTCCATTTCCATTTCCTTGAGAATATTAATTTATTACAATATTATTATTCTTCCCTTGGGTTCCTAGTGGAACATAGGGTTTCAACTCCACGTCTCCAATTGCTTCTGCCTTCCTTCTGCTGTACTTTTCACCTGCATCCATCTTAGTCCATACTCTTTCAACTCCCCTCTCTTTACACGATCTGCTCCATGTCTCCCTTGCACTGACGACCGACTCGCCGATTCCCATTCTGTCGGTTCCAATCGTGCAATGGCCTGACGCGCGCGCGATGTCACTCAGCGGCCTCCTCAGCTATTGAGTGTCCAATCCATCTCTTTTTTCTCCTGCATATTTGTTGGTTGTCGATTGGTTTTTGTTTTGTTTGTTTCTTCACACAGTTTCTTGTTGGTGATTCTTCCAGGCCCGGCCATCTGATCTTCAGTATAGAGCCAGTGAAGACAGTTGTTGATAAAGGTCCTCAACGGGCTGTTGGAAAAATTCTTTGGGACCTGCCCACCAAGTTTCTGATCCGTTCGGTATAGAAGAACTGACTGACTTGACGTTTGTATTGAAAATCCTACCGAATTTTGTTGTTGATGCTGACTGAGTGACGAAGATTCCCAGATTGGTTTCAGGTTGATGAATGTGTTTCACGCCTGCCTTCCCTATTCTCGATTTGACATCCTTGTCCGTTTCAACTGCCTGTAGTTGGGACAATGCTCCCTATCAAAGGCCTTCTTGAAGTCTATAAAGTTGAGGTAGAGGTTTGATTGCCATTCCATGCTTTGTTCGATGATGATGCGTAGAGTTGCAATTTGGTCAGTACTTGATTTGCCTTTCCTGAATCCAGCTTGTTCTAGTCGGAGTTCTGCATCCAGTGTGTCCTTTATTCTCTCCAGAATGATGTGACTCATGATTTTACTTGGCGTCGACAGGAGCACGATTCCTCGCCAGTTCTATCAGAGTCCTAAGTCGCCCTTCTTTGGTAGTTTCACGAGGTAATCCTGCCTCCAGTCAGTAGGCACCTTTTTCTCTTTCTAGATGTTTTGCAATAATGTAGTCAGCATATCTGCTGTAGTCTCTGGGTCCGCTTTTAGTGCTTCAGAAGGTATTCCATATGGTCCAGCTGCTTTTCCAGCTTTCAGAAGCTTGATTGCATTCAAGACTTCAGATCTCGTTGGAGGGTTGGTGTCAACTTGCAGTTGTGTACGTGCTGTTGTTGGTATTTCTCGATGGGTTGCAGGTGATGGTCGGTTCAAGAGTCCTTTGAAGTGATCCGCCCGTTGTTTAATCTGTGTTTCTTCTTTGGTATTGGGTTCCCTTGGCTGTCTTTTATAGGTTTCACTTGTGTTGATCTCTTCCTGGATAGAGACTTGGTTATCTGATAAAATTTCCTCAGGTCCCTTTTGCCTGCTACCTTCTCAGCTTCAGTGGCCAGGTTGTTGTAGAATTGTCTTTTGTCCTTCTTCTCTTCTTTGTCCAGTGCTAAGTACGTTGAGCTCAGCGTCTCTTTCTCTTGCCCATCTTTGTACTGAATCATTTTCTCTTTCACCATTCTCCTCTCCTATATTAGCTTCCAAGTGTCCATTGAGAGCCATTCCTTGTCTTGTCTCTTCTTTCTTCTTAAAACCGTTGAACACGTTTCTTTGAAAATAAGATTTTTGGTTGCTTCTTTTCTGATGCTCACTCATCTGACTTTCATCATGCAGTGAAGGGAAGTGTCGCTAGAGGTCTTCAGCTTCATGGAAATGTTTCATGTGACTCACCGAGGATCTGAAGTATATTGAAGCACTCACCGACTTGACACTAGTTTTGGAAACCTGCATCTTCTTTTCTATGCTGGCTACAGCTGATTCCCACTCTGAATTCAGAGTAATGAAGTCCTACCTTTTTGGTATCCTGCGTTTGTCATCCTCATCCTTTGGCCTGTAGTTGAATTGACGCTGTCTGGATCAGTGAAATAAGTGACTTCATATTTCTATCTTTGACGGATAGTGGTGCTTCCTAGTACACTTCCATTTATTATAGTTTCTTTGCATTTCTCTCTTCCTCCACCTTTATGTGTACTATGGGGTTTGTAGCAAAGTGAACTGCTGCACTTTTGTGCAAAGCTCCACGAAGAGAATTCAGCCATTGGCTGACTAATGCAAAGTTTTCATCAGCAAAAGTAGACTTTTTGAACACGCTGTTAACATATATAACTTCTTGTGTTTTGTTTTCATTTGAGATGTAGATTTTGTGAAGCTGTTACGTCAGATAATGACCATAATATTCATAGGGAAACTTAGTCTAGGTAAAGTGGATAAGTTCGCCTTTAAAGCTGAGAAGTAGCCTGTGAGAAGTCACGATAGTGTTCATCAAGCGCTGATGATGAATGCCTATCGGGTTATTAGTTAAAAAGTTGAAAATTAATTATGGGATGCTGAAGATTTGTAATCCAGTGACTGCAACACTTAGTGGGTGAGGATCACCAGGTCTTCCCATCTTGTGCATACATCTTGCTCACGAGTGCCAATAAGTCCAAAGTCTTGGGAGCTTCAAGCTGTTCAACACTTACCATTTGGTTTAGCGATCACACTATAAACCTGACTGATAGAATTCAATGTGTACGAAATGATTACACCATGAAGTCATCTATACTCAGTAGTTTGTGTCTTTGGTATACGATGCAGAATACCCGGGGATTAGCGGTTCGAAATACTTCTGAAATACGACATACACCTACCTAACTTCAGCATAAAATACAAAATTATTATATTACCTATCCTTCTAAATGATTACCACTTTGATTTCATACTAATTTCACTTAATTTATTATTAAATGGCAAGCTAACCCATTTATATACCCGAAATCTTATTATTTACAACCATTAAAACTTATCTATGTCAAAAACAAGTTCAACTTTAATGGTTTGAAAAAGAAAAGAAAAATTGGTATTGGGCATATGCTGTTTGTAATAATAAGTATAGAAATTTTGTATTTCCCAATGACTGACTATTAAATTTGATAAATTTATTAATTAACATATTAAATAGCGAGAAGTTAATTGAAACAACATTCTTCTGTTTACAATTTCATTACGAAACACAAACTTTTTTATAATAGTAACAATAATGATAATATTAATAATGAACATGAAAGCACCTATTTTTCCTTCACGAGTAATTAAAGGCCTTCGTGGTTGTGAAATTGATTCTGTATAGGAGAATTTCTCCTCAACAAATTGGTTGTTATTCTTATTTTATTAGCGTATATCTATCTGCACAATATCTACCCTGAAGAATACTAAGTTTGCACTACCAAAAATTTAAACTAACATTCAAGGCATGCAAAAGACAACACATAATATTATAATGGGTCTATAACTTGGTACAAAGTAAATGTGGTATATATGTATATAATTATTAGCTAATCATTGCCTAGTTTATTAGAAACTGCAGCAGCCAGTTGAAAATAATGACGAAAACGTTGTCTTAAGACAATGATAAAGCTTCGCATATCTTCTGTCCAATTTAAATGATTAACAAGCCTTTCCACATCAGGTATAGGTGGATTGCATAATACAAGTTCAAAGCGATTGCCAGCCATAAATCGTAACTGGCAACAGCAAACAATGTCGGTAGTTGTACAACCATGAAACAATAATTGTAGTAATCCACAATGTGTTTTTTGTATTTGAATTCCAAGTAGACGTTCAAATGGTTGAATTAATTTATATATTTGCGTTAAATTTGAATTTTCATATTCACGTGAAAATGATGAACTATCAGAAGAAATACTTTCTGATTCCATTGGTTTCATGTATGCATTCTATAAAGGAAAACAAATAAATAAATTAAGAAGGTGGTCAGAAGACGATGCATATTAGATATAATGGAGAAGATTCGTAGCTCAAGCCCAGAGGTGGGGGGGGGGGGCGGAAGATGATTTTAATGTTGTGTTGTTGTTGTGTTCTTTATGAGCTAGATGGTTTACTTTAGAAGCTTTCACTGCCCTATTTTAGGCAACATCTTCAGCGCACACTTCAATTTGAAGTGAGCTTTTAAATTTCCCCACTACTCCTGGTGACCTTGACAACGTGATTGGTTGCTGCTGCCTCTGGATTGGTGAATTTTATCTATGTCAATGTACGTGTGGAGAATTTTCGAAGAAAAAATATCTCATGGGGATATCTTTCAGAAGAATGGATATCCACAAAACTTTATCAAAAGATATCTACGCCAAGACAAAGAAACAAATCAAAGGCCTCCAAGGAAAACACGAAGGGAATCATCTTACCATATATAAAGGATGTCTCAGAAATCACTGCAAGACTTTTCAAAACTTCAGGAATTGTGATGTCGCAACAAAATCACTTCACTCAGCCAGCCCTGTGTCAACCAAAATACTCAATAGTGAAAGAAGATCAAACCAACATCATTTACAAGATAAATTGCAACGACTACGAAAAACACTACATTGGCTAAAGTGGACGCCCACTTCGTCTTTGCATCCATGAATATAAACTAGCCGTCAAAGGACACGATATCCACTCCTTCATATCGCTACATACAGACAACCACGGACATTAATTCGACTAGGACAACGTTCAAATATTAGACAGAGGAAACAACAAGAATGCTAGAGAATTTTTAAAAAGCCCGCCTTGTATTCCAGTGAATCGTCAATCAATACACACTTTGACATACGCAAAATTTACCAATTGATAAGAAGTAAATCTCACATACAAAGCGTCAAATTTCAGGTCAAAGAAACAATTAATATCAATACAAATAGACGACTAGAGGATGTGACGACAATCAAGAGGGACGAATCATGGCCACCACGAGAGATGACTAATAAACTCGCGGAGAAATTCAAAAGCCTACTTCAGACTGAAGTATACGCTGAAGATAATCCCTAGTAGTAGGACAATAGTAGGTTCGCAAGTAAGCCATCCAGCTAAAAGAATACAACTACATCAAGACGATTCATATTTTTATAATAAAAAAAACAAACAATAATAATTGAAGTACTTTTAAATTAATAAACCTACCTTAGTTGACCTGTATTTTTCAATGGAGGCATTTAATTGCCTAATTTTACGTTTGATCGAATGTATCCGAGTGATTAGACTGTCTGCCTGCTTTTCATCATTCAGGAGACGCTCACGTAACTTGTTGCTGACTTCACGTAATTCTTCTGACCGATCATTTGATGATTCTAAATCGGGATCTACTTCATGTGTAATGTTAATAATATTTCTTAGGAGCTGTAAATAAGCATTATTTGTATTCGAATCCAATTCATCGTTTGAAACACTAATCATCATCCAATCGTCTGAATAAGAAATAGTAATAATAATGATGATAAATTATTGATGGTAAAGGAGTTATACACATTTTTTTTAGTCACTGTCTACACACCTACTTTATTTTTTCAAAGGTTGAGTGATTAATTATCTTTTTTGTAGAACTCAATTATTACCCAGTAAAAACTATAGGCTACGGGCCTATATTTAACATGTATGCGCTAATGGTATTACCAAGTTGCTCAGGCTGAAGTAGATGGAGTGAAACTCCAGTCCGGGTATCTACTGACTGGAAATTAAATGCTTTTATTTAAGCCAATGTGCCTTATCTCCCTTCATCTTTCAAAGGTCAATAATTCTTTATCTATTTATTCTACAGAACAAAAAATAGCACGTGAAAAAATACAAACTATTATTCAAAAGGAAATAATATACGTAGTAAGGCCATACGAAAACGACTTACTTTATGGTGTCCATAAGCCACTGAACAACCCTGAAATCAGCAGTAAAAGGTACTTAGGCTGTGTGTGTGTGAATGAATAACTCGTAACCAAAGCATTCTAGTGCAGCAAATAGCTAGACTGCCTTAACCTTTCATCATATAGTAATAATAATATTCCATAAACAGTACCTATAATACAGGCAGCATTTGTCACAGTATTGCATCTAATCTACTCGAAATATAAATCAAACTAACCACTGGATTTTTGTCCACTTTTAGAGTAAATTCAGAAATATGCAAAGTACAAAATGAGAATAATAATAACAAAAGTAGGTTTGTTTCGAACAATACTGTCGATACAGTATGGAAATTTCAGCATGTTTTGTGTGGTACTGAATCTAATATCCCCTTGATGGTGAGGGGAAAAACACAACAACGGAAAACTCAGCTAGGCGTTTGGAATAAACACAGGAGTCAGACAAGGGTGCTTACTATCACCAATGATATTCCTAATTGTGGTGGACTGGATTATGCGTCAGACAGTGGGGAACAAGAAGACAGGGATATCCTGGACCGACGTGAAGAACCTAGAAGACCTAGATTTCGCGCGTGGATGATTTATGTTTGATGTCACACAAAATCGAAGACTTACAAGCGAAAACCGACAAACTGGTCGAAGAAGCAGCCAGCGAAGGTAGGACTCCAGGTGAATATAGACAAGACGGAGGTGATGAAAATAACCAACCAACAACAGCAGCAACATCCAGAGTCAATCACCATCAACGGGAGGGATTTGAAAGAGGTTACTTCATTCACTTATCTAGCATTGAGCATTGTCTCAACTACAGGAAGTCGGAACGGACGAAGATGTCAAATCGAGCGGAATCGGGAAGGGGGGCGAGAAACACATTCATCAACCTGAAACCAATCTGGAAACCCTCGTCACTCAGCCAGCATCAACAACAAAATTCCGTCGGATTTTCAATACAAACGTCAAGTCAGTCAGTTCTTCTATATTCGGATCAGAAACTTGGCGGGTCACAAAGAATATTTCCAACAACCTGTTGCAGACCTTTATCAACAACTGTCTTCGCTCTATACTGAAGTTTTATCAGATGGCCGGGCCGGATAGAATCACCAACAAGAAACTATGGCTGTGAACAAACGAAACAAGAACCAATCGCCCAACAAATATGCAGGAGAAAGTGGATGGAGATGGATTGGAAACTCGCTGAGGAGGCCGCTGGGTGACATTGCGCGCGCGTCAGGCCATTTCTCGAGTGGAACCAGGCCGAAAGGGAAGCGGCGAGTGGGACGTCGGTGTAAGGGTGATATGGAGGAGATCGTGTGAAGAGGAGTTGAAACAGTATGGACTAACATGGATGCAGGTGAAAAGTACAGCAGAAGGAAGACAGAAGTGGCAAGTGGAGACGTGCAGTTGAAGCCCTATGTTCCACTAGGAACCCAAGGGAGCAATAATAATAATAAATGATGTTTACACTTATGAGAAAATAAACAAGAAAATGTGAGAGGATTTTCACACTCCATACAACATACATAGGTAAAGAAAGTTTCTAAAACATTCAAAGGAAATTTAATGGACTGAAATATACGCGAGGAAGAATAATTGATTAGAAAGTAAGTTATTTAGTAACCAGTGTAATGTAACAAAGGACTAGAATCTTTGCGTAATTACAGACTGATATTTTAAGTACTGTTAGTCAAACGGAATGTCTGGAGATTTATCTCATATTTTTAAAAACTAGGATAACCAACAATCTAGAGAGAGAGAGGTCTGATGCACCTACTTGGATTTCTGTACACTAGATAGTACCTTAGTTTATCTAGATAATATATCAATCAAGCACTATCTAAAAAAACTAATCAGACCAACTTGTCCTGCTGTTAGATCTAGTTTTAGATTATTGAAAGCTTTTTTTCAGTTCTTCTGGAGTTGAAGGGTTGGATAATTACATCTCATTCAAGTCGAGATTCGACGACACAATCCGTACTGCGGTTTTATACCAGTTAAACTCGCCTGTTATTAAAGCCCCATTCTTTTCGGAGATCGATCCACTTACGACAGCCGTTTTTATCGAACGACGAGATATATTTGAATAAAGATCATTGACTTATGCACTAGACGTTAAACTGGAGTTCGAATCCCGCGCCACCTACTTCAGATTAGGCAACTGGGTAGTATCATCAACCCTGAAACTACTACTAGTATAGCTTTTAGCCTGGTACATGAACATCTGTCCATATAACTGAGTTCAAACAACTTCTCTGTGAACAAATGAGAAGTAGTAACAGCTCATATGAAACAAATGCGACTCAGCCTGGTACATGAAAAAACTTATTCTAGATAACTAGATTCTATCCATCCATTGCTATTTCATGACCTATTTCCTTAGTCAGTCTAAATAGTTAGTAGATATTTGACTGTCGTCACCTGTAATCGTTGAAAGTCAACTTTCATTTTGTTATTTCTACAGTCAGTCAGGGTCAAACTTCTTGCATTGATTAGTTCGGTTGAAACTACAGCAATCGCGTGGCTTGGCTGCAGGTTACCATCTATCTCCATTACCATTTTCTACAACAGCTGTGGCTCGAGAGCCTAAGCACTCAGCTTTTGACCAGTGAGTCTTCAGTTCGAGTATCAACCTACCTACTTTAATATGTTCAGCAGTATCATCAAGCCTTATATAATAATTGTGATTCATTATCTTGTAGATGAAAAAATCGGTTCCACGTAACTGAATATATGTAGGGTACAGTAAAATTTACCTTAAGGTATCTGTCTGTCTGTCTGTTTTCGACATAGAACTTTGCACAAATGTGCGGAAGTTCAAGTCGCCACATTCCGTGTAGCACGCGAAGCAAGAGAAGAAAGTACAAGAAAAGCATAATAGAAACAGTGAGCAGAGGTGTGAGACAAAGGAGTAATAAAGAAAAACAAAGGTATCTATTTTGCTGCAAAGTGATAATCATCTTAACCAATGACTTATGCAAGGGAAATAAACCGGTGGACGAACCACAGGAGTAAACCAGAAAGTTCGTACCCTCAAATTTATTATAGCGATTACTTGTTACAAATCTTCATGTGGTGATTGACTATTTCTATCTCTGTATTGTTTAAATACTTACTGTTGATTGTTAATATGTTTCTTATATGAATTGCATAATAATAACGCTAAATACAAATTCCTGGATTCCGCCCTCTCTGTGTTTTGTTTGGATTCTTGTAATTCGGTCATCTCGAAATACTAATACTACGATTACAATTAATTACAACAAATTGGCGCCGCGATGGAACTAAATAACCTGGGAAAATTTCCTATAAATGGTTCTCCGCGGGAGATTGCTGATTACCTTGAATGCTTCGATGCGTGGTGCATTTCAAAAAATGTTCGGGATGACAAAATACCAGCACATTTCATTACTGCTATTGGGCTAGATGCATATAGCCTAGTGAAGACTTTGGCGTTTCCAGATAAACCTATTTCTCTGTCATATGACAAGATTCGTGAACTTCTGATAAATCACTTTCATGTAACTACATTTGAGACGAGAGAGAGGGCTCAATTCCATAAACTGGTTCGTGCTCCCAAGCAGAAGATAAGAGACTTTATTCTTCGACTTCAAATTCAAGCTTCAAAGTGTAACTTTGGAGATCAGCTGCATACTCAACTACGTGATCGTCTAATTGCTGGAATCAATATTCCTAAGTTAGAGAAAGAGTTAATTCAGATTCCTTCTTGTACCTTTCAAACTGCTAAAAATTTTTGTATTACATATGAAGATGTCAATAATGAATACTCTGCTCCCATTACGTCAGTATCTGATGTCATGCTGTCCAAAGTCGAAAATACAAGTGTTCATGGAAAGCAATCCAAACTGTCGTCCACAAGTAATAGAATGCAGAGAGAGATCAAAAACATTAAACCGTGTTTATCCTGTGGAAAGTTACATCTACGAAGCACTTGCCGTTTTCGGGGTGCTAAGTGTCACAAATGTGGTAAAGTTGGACACATCAAGACTGTTTGCAGAAGTTCGAATACTTATGTTACTCAGAATCCTTTATAATTCTCCAACTTATCTAGTAAAATGGAGTCGATGTGTCTTTCAACTTTTCAAAATACTCAGTCTCATCCAATGAAAACCTCCACTACAAGTTCAGCAACTCAAGCACCAACTGTTTTCAAAAATGTGGTAGCCGAGTTACAATGCGAACTGTCGAAAACACGAGAAAAACTGAATGAGATGAGAGAGCAACTGATTAAAATGGAGGAATTATTGCATATGCATAGACTACGTCTGTTGAATGCAGAGCATACAAGTACCCGTGAAAGTCCTGCAAAACTTTTCAAATCTCGAATTCTCAAAAAGCATCTGATGTCCACGACTTCTAATGTACATTATTACAAAGGTAATAACTATAGACCTTCTGTTGGAATTATACTACAAAAAATGGGAAATCGAGTGGTGAAGATATTAGACATCAAAGATCACTCAGTTCATAACAGACACCTGGACAAAGTGACAATAAATGAAGTAGGTCGTTCCAATTATTATTTTAATGATTCC